TAAAAATAAAAATAAAGAAAGAAAACATCATCCTTATTTTTTTTTTACCATTGATAAGAGTTTATTTTACGTATTTTTAGTGTGTTTTATTAGTTAATTTTGGTTTGATTATTTAGTTTAATAACTAAAATAACTAAGGTTTTGGTAAAAAACTACATTTTATGTTAAAATGGCTAAACATTGCATTTTATGGATTTTTATGGGAAAAACTTCATATTTTGTAAGTTTAATGATTCAATCATCAAATGAAGTGTATTGAGAAGATATTTGGATGATTGAAGATGGATTAAAATGGTGAAAATAAAATATGAAGTGTAAAAAGGAAAAATGCAATTTGAATCAAGAAAAGTCAGGTTTTGACAACTCTGACACGTTTTGGTATTTTGACTATATCTGGAGCTACACTGATCGGATCAAGGTGATCTTGGTACCATTTTGAAGCTAAGAGATATATCTACATTTGGTATGAAGACATCAAAGTCCAATTCAGCCGTTTTCATAGTCCAAAAGTTGAAATACCGAAATTCAACTCAGCTGTCCAAAGTGGAAAACAGAGCTCTGACCAGTGTTTAGTATTTTGATCATATCTCAGTCTACAAAGCTCCGATTTGGATGATTCTTGAAGCATTGGAAAGCTAACTCAAAGATCTACAACTTTGGTGTTTTGCACAAAAGCCAGTTAGGCCTGCATCATGGAGAAAATCTCAGTTGAAGTAAGGACAAAGTGAAAACGCGAGTGCACAAAACGCGAGTTGTAGACGCGTTTTGTAAAGGCGCGTTTTCTGGCCGAAATTCTGCAATTTGCTCAGTCAATTCTCTTGTGTTCATACCACTTTCCAGCTATAAGTTGCAAGAGAATTCGGTGCACATGCTTCAGAAGACAAAAGGGCAGACAAGGTGGCTTATTTTCAAGTCAAAAACATTTGTTATTGACTATCCTAACAAAGTTGAGATTTGGGAATCAAAATGTGGAATTTGACTTGGAAAAATGGAGCTCTTAAGCAGTTTATATGCAGAGACATTTTGGGTGGTCTGAGAAGGGGGAAATATACGGGAGAAGCTTGAAGAGTGCAGAAATGTAGTTCTTCCATTTCCTTAGTGTAGGATAGTGTAGTAAGTGTAGTTCATCCATTCTTGTATAATGACTAGAGTAGGATGAAAATGGAGATGAAGAAAGAGAAGTTGAAGCTCAAGTGACATGGGTTATCTCTTCTCCAACTCTTTATCTTTTGTATTGGATTCTTAAATATAGTTAATATGCAAGTTCTGGAATTTATGTCTATTATGTGTTTCTAAAGTTTATGCCTTGGGTTTGGTTGAACTTTCTATGATTGTTAGTGTTTATTATTTGGTTATTTGATTACTATGATTTGAGCAAGTTATTTAGCACTTTGACTCTTTAAATCATGATTAATCTGGTACCATTAATTGTGATTATCTAAGGTGTTATTTCTGCAATGAAAATTGAGATTTAACATTAGTTCAAGAAGTGCTAAACATAGGGAGTACACTCACGAAAGTAGAGGTGCACCTATGTGGTTTTTAGTGATTCATTTCATGTAATTTCACTGAAGAAATGAACTTGTAGCTAATTTCATAACCATGAGAATAGGTATGGATTAGTTATAAGTATAATTGATTCACTACGAAAGTAGGATTCAAATGCATAAGGAAATTACACCATAATTAGCCTAGATGTAGTATTCAATGATCCAAATATAACACTTGCATGAGTAGCTAGGGATACCACAACCCAAGGAGCTTTCATTTGTTATTTTGTATAATTTCAGTAGGTTAAATTTATTATGATTCATTGATAGTCTAAATAATAGAGAAGCTTTAGTAATACCGGTAATTGTTCACTCTTCCCTGTGGGATCGACCCGATATATACCCTAAACTACTAGTTGATCTGTATACTTGCAGTGAACGGGTGTAATTCGGTATTTTTTAGCTTGCACGTATGTAAAATACCCGTCAAGTTTTTGGCCCCTCTCCACACCTTCCCATCCCCAACTGCCAGGTACAAGAAAACATCATCCTTGATTGAAAAGAAAAACACTTAAGAAGACCTTTATCCTTAGTTGAAAAAAGAGTATAAATAAAATCAGTCGGCCAATGAGAACGAATATTGCACGTATGTGAATAGAAAGGTAAGAGCTAAATTTACACCCCACATTCTAAATTTCCATGTCGAATATACAAAACTTGTACCATTGGTAGTAATAACTTCTAGCTTTAGTGTTAAAATTTTTACAAGTTGTGGATTGAATGAAAATGGATAAGTGTGAACTTTGTCACTCCATCCTTAGTAATAATTATGCTTTATACAAACTTAATTATGTAGTATTATTATACTAAATGTCAAATACTTATTTTTATATGGATGAGTAGTGCATCACTCACCTTCATTTAAGTATTATTGATTCGCACATTCTCAAATCTAAATTAAATGCACTCAAGCAACGTGGCAATTTTATTAAGAGTGAAAATTACTTTTCTAATATACAATGATTTGTTACGTTTCATGTTCTTCATTTAGGTTAGTGGAAAAGAAAATAACCTATTGAATGATATTTAGTTGGTACTTGGTAGTTTAACCATTTTACACCATTTAAACATGTGGCCTTTCATTGGTGTTAAGTTAGATTAGTAATTACAAATCCCATGTGGCTTCCTTGTATCCTTCCCCTTTTGGCTTAAATTGTTGCGGTCACATTAGTTTTGCAAAGTACAACTCCTTCAATTTTAAAGGTTCTCAAATATTTAATTACATTAAAAGAAAACAAGTACAAGGAATCTACTATAGTAGTAAAATCCTATATGATTTTTGAAGAAATGACCAAATAGTGACTCATAGCACAACAATGCCATCCCGAGAAGATCTAGGGAAGGTTAACAATTTTTGGGCAACTTGGAGAGCTTCCTGAGGATGGCGACTCCGACTGGGTGCTCTTTTGAAGCTTCAATGACCAATTTTTGCAGCATCAAAGCATTCTTTAGCATAACCCCTGCAAACTGAATAACTTTCTCAGTGCTCTTTTGGCGATGTCTGGTTTCATTAAAGAAGAAAGGCCGACTATCAGAGCCATACTTCTCTCTTTTTTTTTCATCAATATTTAGAGAAATTAGCCTATTCTTTGAGACTTTAAACTTTAAAAAAAAATCAAGTAAACTTATCCAAAATAAAACACATCGCTTAAACTTTTAAAAAAACATTAAGTTTTGTTTACCGAAGAAACTAAGAAAGCTTCATCCTTAACCATAAAAAGAATGCAAATAAATTTAGTTGGCCAACTTGAACGAAGATTGCACGGATGCAAATATGGAGAATAAAATATGTGGAACCCTCTCTCAATTTTGTCAAAAAAAATTGTTATATGCAAAATATTTTTGTATTAAAAATTGATACGCAACCTTACTTAAAATCTCTTCCACTCAACCCATCCCTTCCCGCTAAGAAATGGTTATATGTTTGTCCTCAACCATGTTATTAAGATTCTCTTTAATAGTCTTCATATCCTAAATACATTCATTTTGGTGATAATGTTTATGTATCAACGCAATTTAAGATTTAAATTATTTATTTTAGAAAAATATAATTTCTTCTCATTTTCAAACAATTTCTAAATTCTAGCATCACAAAAATGGTATTTTTCTAGTTAATTATTCCATATTTTAGGCTAATTTGACTTCAAGGAGTTATTATTTTTAAAGTAGTCAACAAATTTTCATCTCATCGAAACGTTAAAACATACCTACTTCTGAATTTAATGAGCAATTTTATCACTTTAAACATATAAAAAATAGTTAATCTAATATAAATTAATAGTATATACACAATTATAGTTGAATGCATGACATGTGAATCAAATTTGAAGTTTAAACTTCAATTTAGGTGAGTTGTCTCAATAATAATGGTGTATACACTATCAATGTATAAAAGATTAGTTTATAAAAAATCAGCTACTTCATATTATCTTTTATAAACCAAAATGTAACTTTTTATTCTTCTACATTTAATGTGAAACTAAATCTTAGATATTATTCTTATATAAATAGTACAACAAATCTTATGACTTTTATGTAACCAACTATTTTACTAGAAATTTTTTCCTAAATATACAATGCTCTTATATTTAACTTAAATTTATCACTACAAAGAGTTTTGCCAAAGATATAATAATTTCGTATTAACCAATAATTAATAATCACTACATGATTTATATATTAAAGAAATAATTAATTATCACTACAGGATTTAGTTTCATATATGTCTTAATATTTTATGAACATACAACATTACCATCTACAAGTAATCGTGCAAAAATTAATTATTCTACATTTACATTTCCAAAATTACAAAATTCAATATAGTTTTCGTATTCTCTTCTCCACAAATACAACTTATTTAGTCTACTTCGTGCACAAAATATATGCATATTTTTAAAAAAATTACAAGTTTGGAGAAAATTAATATTTTCAGCTTTATACTAAAATCTCATAGTGCACCCCATTAATACAATGTAAGCATTTTAGATGATTTCACATTACAATAATCATAAATTGTTTATTGTAAGTTTTGAATTATCCTTACAAATTTGTGATTCCCGTGCATTGCACGGGCCATAAAGCAAGTAAATAATATCTTAATGGCACTTTTTTTTATCTTTTTACCTAGTAACATCCATATACATTTACATATTCCAATAGAAAGTAACCAAAAACTTTATATTTATTTTTTTTATGGCAAACCTCGTACACGAGAGTGGGATGCCAACCCCAATTTATTAATAATCATAAAAGTACACGAAGGACTCCTTAAGTATAATGAAATCCTAGCGAACTCTTTTTTTTTTTTTTTTTTAAGAAGACAAGCGATCAAATTAGGAAACCATAAGCAATTCATCTCAAATTTAGGAAACCCTGAACATACTAATTTTTCCATAATTAAGCGCATTAAGAAAAAACAGTGAAACACAGCAGTAATAGGAGACTGCATTAATGATAGATGGATAATAGGGTCGTTGAGGTCTTTCCAAACGAAGACCCAACCTTCTCCACCGCCTTCACCACATCCATACCCTCAGTGACACGGCCGAACACGACGTGCCTGCCGTCGAGCCATGCAGTCTTCTCGGTGCAGATGAAGAACTGAGAGCCATTGGTGCTGGGTCCGGCGTTAGCCATGGATAAAACCCCTGGGCCAGTGTGCTTCTTGATGAAGTTCGCGTCCTCGAACTTGGATCCGTAGATCAACTCGCCTCTGGTGCCGTTTCCGGTGGTGAAGTCGCATCCCTGGCAAATGAAACCGGGGATCACGGTGGAAGGTCGATCCCTTGAAGTGCAAGGGCTTGCCGCTCCTTCCGACGCCCTTAGAAATAAAGATTGCATCACGTGCTTTGCACGTGAAATATTACCATTCAGAAATCAAACATACAAGTCTAATATTTAAATAAGCATGTGACCATAACCCAAACTTCACACTATCTGGCCTAATAAATTTAATTCAACAAAGCCAAACTTAATTCAACTAAACACATATATAGGCTTTTATGTTAGCAAATTCAAACTAATTTACAAAATATAAGTTCCTGAAATTAGTAAAAAGGAAATCTTAAATATTTAAAATGTTGTATTTATAGCAATTTTCTCCTTGAATCAAACATATAAAATACTGATATAGAATTCTTACAAAAGATAGTTCATTGTGTGTCGTGGTAGAAATCTTTGAAAATTGTTATACAAGTAAATTGGAAGGCAAAGAGACGAATAAAACTTTTAGTTTAGGAAAAAATAAAAAAAAGAGATGTCGATTACCATACCAATTAATATGTTTCTTGAGTTTTTTATTTGTACCAAGAGAATCTAGTAGCTCGTTCAAAAACTTAATTAGCATTTGATGATTGTATTAAATTACCAAAGCAATCATCTAAATGCTGCATTTAAGGTAATATAGATTGCCAAACGTATCTTTCAAATTAAGAATCATGCTCCTTCAAATCCTCTATTTAAAGCAATCTAGCAATAAAGTTCAAAGATATTAAGTTACAAATTAAGGAGTCATATATGTTGATTTCTTTTCATCCTATATCCAATATTGCAAAACTTTCTTCTTTGTTGCAATAGTTAAGACTACTCTGCTTCCTCGATGTCTCTAAAGCTAGATCTTATTCTTGTGCATAAGTTCCAAAATATGCTTTTATAAATTGCTGTCCAGGTGTATCGTTTTCTCAACCTTTTTCGTTTTCTGCTTTTATTGGACCTATTAGTGAAATATGCAAGTTCCTTAGTTGTGTATTAATGGTTTGGTAAAAAATGTCCTTACCGTTTAATACGCAATGCAAATTGAGTATCAATTGAGTGCTTAACCTAATTTATTTAGTATCAATTGTTATTTGATGGTTAATAAGTATAAACTATTTACAAGATTACTCTTCTCTTCTGACGTATAAACAAACAGTTTACAGAATTGCTCTTCTCTTTTGAAGCATGAATTGTTTACAAGAAAATTCTATTCTGATCTGACATGACTAGTTGTTGCATCTGCTGTAAAGCAAGCCATCTTTGATGCAAGGTCAACAGAAAGTCAAATGGTTTATGAGGTCTTGGATATTGATTGTGGCATCAATCTAACTGATTTTGGCAATTATTCTTATTTTGTGAAAACACTGCCGTGTCACATTTTGTTTAAAATATATATATATATATATAACAGATACATGGAGTCAGGTTTCATTTAAAAAAAATTTTCATTTAAAAAAAAGTTAGCCCACCTTGCATCACATGCAAAGCACGTAATGTGTTATCCTAAAATATGTGATATATTACCATTTAGAAATTAAACATACAAGTGCAATGTCTAAATAAGCACGGCTATAAAGTCATTAAATTTGAGACATGCAACTAAATATAACCATGTGACCATTGCCCAAACTCCACAATATTGAGTCTAATAAATTTAACTCAGCAAAGCCAAACTTAATTCAACTTAACACATATATAGGCCTTTATGTTGGCATATTAAAATAAAATTAAAAAAATATAAGTTCTTGAAATTAGTAAAACGAAATCTTAAATGTTTAAAATGTTGTATTTGTATCAGTCTTCTCCTTGAATCAAACATATAAAACACTAATATAGAATTCTTGCAAAAGATAGTGCATTGTGAGCCATGGAAGAAATCTTAGAAAAACGATATACAAGTAAATTAGATCGCAATGAGAAGACTAAAACTTTTAGTTTAGGAAAAAATAGAAGAGAGATGTCGATTACCATACCAATTATATTTGTTGAGGCTCTTATTTTTAGCAAGAGAGTCTAGTAGCTCGTTCAAAAACTTAATTTAGCAGTTGATGATTGCATTAAATTACCAAAGAAATCATCTAAATGCTGTATTTAAGGTAATGGAGATTATCGTATCTTTCCAATTAAGAACCATTCTCCTTCTCATCCTCTATTTTAAGTAATCTAGCAATAAAGTTCGAAGATAATAAGATACAAATTAAGGAGCCATTTGATTTCTTTTCATCCTATGTCCAATATTGCGAAACAGATTTCTTTGCTCCAATAGCTAAGACTACTCTGCTTTCTCGATGTCACTAAAGATTGACCTTATTCTTTTTCATAAATTCCAAAATATGCTTTTATAAATGGCTATCCAAGTATATCTTTTACTTATCCTTTTCCGTTTTCTACTTTTGCTGGACCTATTAGTGAAATATGCAAGTTCCTTAGTCGTATATTAATGATTTAGTAAAAAATGCTAATAACGTTTAATATGCCATACAAATTGAGTATCAATTGAGTGGCTAACCTCATTTATTGAGTATCAATTGTTATTTGATAGCTAGTAAGTATAAATTGTTTATAGGATTGCTCTTCTCTTCTAAAGTATAAATTGTTTACAGGATTGCTCTTCTCTTCTGAAGTATAAACTATTTATAGAAAAATTCTGTTCTGATTTAATATGACTAATTGTTGCATCTGTTGTAAAGGAAACCATCTTTGATGTAAGGTCAATAGAAAGTCAAATTGTTTATGAAGTTTTTTATATTTATTGTGCCCTTAATCTAACTAATTTTGTTAATTATTCTTAAGGGTTAATATCAGAAACCTCCCTTGAGGTTTCTTCTAATCACACCTAGCACCCCTCATGTTTTCGAAATCACACTTAGCACCCCTGGAATGACAACTTTGGTATCATTGTCAACCCCTCATTATTTTTGTTCCGCTTTTACCCTCCTTGTGAACTCTATTTATGTAGAGTTAATTTCGGAAACCTCCCTTGAGGTTTTCCCTAAATTATGTAAAATTATTCTGTAATTATGTAATATTTTTTGTACAAAGTGTAACTCTAATTGAACTATTTATAAAACTTATCAACACAAATACGATTATTACATATTGGACCCATATGTACACTAACAACTTATCACATTTCTATTGTAACGATGTACAAGAAATTTACATAAAATTACAAAATGTTCAAAAAATGTTACACTATTTAGAGATGGTTGATCTAACAACTGTTCCTATCCCACTCCCTAATATTAAATAGTCATGGAGTTTCCAGTGATGTTAACTTTTTGCAATTCCTAAGTGAATAATAACACAATCTAAAAGTATTTCAAAGATGATGGGAATTCATGAGTATATAGCATCAACAAACAATTTCTACTTGACAATAGGGTATCACAATATTAATAACTTATAAACTCCATTCAACTATGATGCACAAAAAGCTATTTATACTACCTCATTTTCACAAAAATGGAAGAGCAAGTTTATTTACAACTACAACCACATATTGAAACTATTGTTGCCATTATGAGAATCCATATTCACATTTTTTTTTATCTCCGTTCAGATCAATGTAACATTTTTTAAACAATGTATAACTCTATGTGAATTATTTGTAAAACTTAATAACAAAAACGCAATCTATTATAAAGATGTACAAGAAGCTTACATAAAATTACAAAATGTTCAAAACATGTTACACTGTTCAGACACGATTTTGTAGTGTTACCAAAGTTGGCGGGATGTGAGTTACATAAATAGAGTTCACAAGGAGGGTAAAAGTGGAACAAAAATAATGAGGGGTTGACAATGATACCAAAGTTGTCATTCCAGGGGTGCTAAGTGTGATTTCGAAAACATGAAGGGTGCTAGGTGTGATTAGAAAAAACTTCAAGGGAGGTTTCTGATATTAACCCTATTCTTAATTTGCAAATACACCGTTGTGTCTGATTTTGTTTTAAAAAAATAAAGTGCAAACACGGCAGTGTCAGGTTTCATTTAAAAATATTGGCCTACGTAGGCATTTTTCATTTAAAAAAAAAAAAAAAGTTAACCTGCCTTGTATCACGTACAAAACATTTGATATATCATCATAAAGTATGTGATATATTACCATTTAGAAATTAAACACGCAAGTCTAATATCTAAATAAGCATGGAAATAAAGTCATTAAATTTGAGACATGCAACTAAATATAAGCATGTGACCATAACCCAAACTTCACACTATCGGATCCAATACATTTAACTCGACAAAATCAAACTTAATTCAACTTAACACATACATAGGCCTTTATGTTTGCATATTAAATCAAATTTAAAAAATATAAGTTCCTGAAATTAGCAAAAAGAAATCTTAAATGTTTAAAATGTTATATTTCTATCGATCTTCTTCTTGAATCAGACACATAAAACATAGATATAGAATTCTTACGAAAGATAGTTCATTGTGTGTCTTGGTAGAAATCTTAGGAAAACAACATGCAAGTAAATTAGAAGGCAAAGAGAATACTAAAACAAAAACTTCTAGTTTAGGAAAAAATAGTAAAGAGATGTCAATTACCATACCGATTATTATGTTTGTTTATTTGTGACGAGGTTTTAATATACGTACAAGTTAAAAAATCTGAAATACAGCCGTTTCACTGCAAGTATATAGGTCAACTAGTAGTTTAGGGTATATATCGGGTCGATCCCACGAGAAAGATTGAACAATTACCGACACTACTAAAGCTTCTCTATTATTTAGACTATCAATGAATTATAACAAGTAAAACCTACTGAACTTATATAAGAAAATAACAAATGAAAGCTCCTTAGGTTATAGTATCCCTAATTACTCATGCAAGTGCTATATTTAGATCATTGAGTACTACTATCTAGGTTAATTATGGTGTAATTTCCTTATGCATCTGAATCCTACTTTCGTAATGAGTCAATTATACTCATAACTAATCCATACCTATTCTCATGGTTATGAGATTAGCTACAAATTCATTTCTTCTGTGAAATTGCATGAAATAAATCACTAAAATCACATAGGTGCACCTCTACTCTCGTGAGTGTACTCCCTATGTTTAGCACTTCTTGAAC